TCTGTGTTGTATAAATTGTCCTTAAGTCAAGAACCCTCATGTTCCAACACACACACACACACACACACACACACACACACACACACACACACACTTCCCTAGGCAAATGGTTCTATCTCACAATGAAAAGCAATGAGCTGGAAATTTTTTCTAATGCCTTTTATAACCAACCTGAAAGTAGCTATGTCACATATTGGTAATTAAAGTCCTTAGAATCCAACCTTAGCATCAACAGAGAATAATCTAATTTCTATGTTCCTTTCCTTAGAAGAGGAGAACTATGATATATCAACAGCATGGGTACATCTATAAAAAACTATGGCAATAAATTAGTTGACATGATATAACTCTAACACAATTAAAATGGATCACTAACATTATCAAAAGAGATATCCTAAATATTTAACTGCCTTTGATTACATAATTTGTCCCATTAAAAAAAGAAATAAAATCTAAAGTTTTAAAGCGATTTTAAACCCTTTAATTCTTCTATCAATAAAAGGTGAAAATGGATTACATATTTAATGCATGCATCCATCATTTTTCAAGACTTCTTTAACTAGGTCTTCAGCAAGAGCTGTTAGCTTGGAGGAAAGATGTGGAATTCATTTTAACAAGGAAATGGGCCCAAGTGCTCCTGCAAGCATCGTGAGAGCAGTGAGACTGATGGCTGGGAGTTGGAGGGCCTCATTCACACCTCTGCATTGATTGCGCCGGCAACGTAATTCACTACGTGTCAGTCTTGCTTAGCCAAACCCAGAAATATCAAATCCCAGGGCTATTTATAAGTAATGTTATTTATACTTTATCAGTTTTAAACTTTACTTTTGTTACCTTGGTAGTGTCTGTGATGTTGAGTATTTTGCTTTTAAGCCACTTTGATTTCTTTTCTTGGCAAGTGTGTGATCTTAATATTAATTCTCAAATAGTCTAAACTCTCTACTGGCAAATTTGGATATGTTGGAAAGCCTGGCAGAGTTCCATGCATCGCCTTTGAAATGCGAGCATAATACAATGACTTCACATTGCGTGAGCATGCCAACCAAGTCAAGGCCGAGGAATCCAGCCACGACACAGGCAGTCCTTTCATCCAGTGCGCTTCAAAACTGCCGTAAACTGTGGCTGTTGGATGCATTGCCAGGGCTCTGGAGCCAATTTCCATGGATTAGAGGACTTCAGGAGCATCCGCTACCACCCTGCTACTCAATTAGCTAACCAATACCGCCCCTCTCTGTTACAGTAGCTTTAGACACAGCTTCTGCCACACGCAGCATAACAGGCATTTTACTTATTGAAGACAGAGAAAGATAAACTGTAGGTGTCAGAGAAGTAACACTACTAAAGGCGGAAGTAAGTCAAACCACTTCAAAACTACTTGTAAAGTTTCAGGCCACATGCACCGAGCCCTGAAACTGAAAGAAACCTCAATTTTCTTACATGTATCTTTGAAAGTTAAAGTAGGCAGGAAGGGTGACTATGAAGAATATCCGTACTTCGTGGATAGAAAATTTAAGTAACGCCCCACATTCGCTTGGTTTTGGGTTACTGAATAGTCTACCTCATTTTCTCTTTACTTCCATGATCTCCACACCGTCATTCATCAAGTTTAGATCTTCCAAAGATACTGGGGTGTTATATTCATCAGAGCAGAATATAGTGAACTTCAGGAGCACCTCACACGGTGCTCTTACAGAATGGGATAATCTAAAGTCCTGGGCATACCTCCTTTAAGCAAATCTCCTGCTGGACGGGGCAAATGTTCACTTGATTTTCTGGGACACCATAGTCAATGTATTTCTTTGATGAACAAAAGAAGTTTCAAGACGCACAGTGTTTAAGGAGCCGGAGCTGGGGCTGCAAACATGGTCTGCTTTTTCTCCTGGGAACTGGGTCCTGTCTGAAACATTTCTCCATCGTAAGGCTCTGCCGTTTCTCCTCCCGCCATAGCCCTCAAGCTACAATAGCAGGCTCGCGATACTTTTTTTTAGATACCAAAGTTATGAATACACTTTTATGAACATTTCCCTTTGAACTCACTTCTTGAAGAAGAAAAATAGCCCTACACTGTGCTCTTAGGGCCTGTAAAATGCTCCAAAATGCACAATGAGAAATCCCTAATGTGGGATAATGTATATGGCACACAGCCTGTGCAGCTGTAACTCTCAAAAAGCAATGCTTCTGACTGGCATGAATTACACAGAAGGCGTTTCAGAGATTACTATCAAATTCATGCCCCAGAGTATCTCCCTTGATGACATCATCACTGCCTCCGTGGGATGCGTGCAGACCCTTAATGGTACAGAACGGTGCTCAGATGCAAAGCGAGGAAGCCTTTGTAGCGTTAAGCGGCTTATGTTTTCCCCCATATCCCATCTCAACACATCCTCCAACCACCTCTAAAAATAATTCTATGAATGCCAACTCAACAGATTACAGTACATCTCCTATTAATTTCTCTCTCCCTCAAAAGGAGCTTATCATTTCAGTTTATAATTCCGTCTGCAACTGTCGACTAAAGTTCAGATTCCATTTTCCTGCTGCCTGTTATCATTTAAACCATGCATCATCAACACAGCTACTTATTTTCTGGTGTTAAAAGGAATGTGTCTTCCACAAACTCATCCTAACTATTATATATAATTAATCTGGAAAACTCAGCTCCCTTTAATCCCACTCTGTGGCTTAGATTCTTTAGCCCTGGAGCTACATGTGTTGATTTCTGTTGCGCTCAGGCTAATGCAAAAATAGTCCTTGGTATGGCCTAGAAATGAATCTGCATAGAAGTGACACCTAAGACTGTGAAGTGAATCTTAGCAACGAAGGTTCGAGAATGTGACCCAGACCAAGGGAAGGACCTGGGAAACGTCCAAGATGCAACAGTCACTTTGTTTAACTTTAACAATGCCATGGAAAGTTCTAGACCACAGAATATGTGTAAGCTTTAAGGCCAGACTCTCAAGTTCTGGGCTCAGACTCCACTTTTGTCATACATTGGTTACATGACTGGAAGAACACACTTAACACACTGTTCTGTACAGTCTAAAATAGAGGTGGTAGTCCCACCTACCTCCTGAGGTAATGTGAGGCTTTCACTGGCAAAAAATCACACAATGCACTTCTAGTATTGTCTGTCACTCAGAACTGTCATTCAATGCCTATTTGCTTCCTTTTGTGTTTGTTTGTTTGTTCATTTTGTTTTGCTTTGTTTTTTGAGACAGGGTTTCCCTGTGTAACATCCCTGGCTGTCCTGGAACTTGCTTTGTAGACCAGGATGACCTCAAACTCACTGAGATCCTCCTGACTATTTGCTCTTGACAGGGAGGTAGCTCAGCTGACAGATTACTTGCCCAGCATGCGCAAAGCCCTGGTGTTCCTTCCCCAGAACCTCAGCAGCTGCATACAGAGACGTATGTCTGTAATCTCCGATGGAAAGAGGATAACCAAAACTTCAAAGTAACCTCACCTACATAGTGAGCTCAAGGCCAGAATGGCGTAAAAGAGACTTTCTCAAAAAAAAAGAAAAGTTAAGTAGGGGCTGGTGAGATGGCTCAGTAGTTAAGAATGTTTGTTCTTGCAGAGGACCTGGGTTTGGTTCCCAGCACACACAGGATGGCTCACAACCCTCTGTAACAGTTCCAGAGGATGTGACATCTTCTTTTGACCTCCCAGGGAATCAGGCACATGCATGGTGTACATGTAATCATGCAGGCAAAACAGTCATACAGATAAAGTAAATAAATAAATCCTTTGAAAGTTAAATTACAAAGATATAGCATCCTTATAACTTGAGAAATAGCACTGTATAATAAAAAGAAATCCTAGAAAAATCTGTGTGAAATATGAAATTACAGTGTTCATATATTATAGTGACTATTGTTAGTATTTAGGCGTCTGTACTGGCTTCTTGGGGTTCTGACAGGATATGCCCTCAGCTGCAGCCACTAAGAGCACCACCTGTGCACATTCACTATGTTCCCTTCCAAAGGGACCCTGCTCACCTCCCATCCTTCTCTCTCTTTCTTTCTCTCCCTCTCTCTGTCTGTTTCTCACCCCCCTCTCTTTCTCTCTTCCTCTCTTTCCTCTCTCCCACTGCTCCTGTCCCTGGAGGCTGGTTCTCCCCTTTTTAAGATCCCTTTTCCTAATAAATAAAATGCTCTACTTGAACTCTGTCTCATGGCATTTTTCTCTCAAGTACCACTTTTTAAAATTACAACTATACCATTGTACATAATTATGCAATCGCATAATTAAAATCATATATTTTCTTTTCCTACCTAAAACTTACCTTTTAGCAAGTAAATTACTTTCCATTACTTCTTTTATTTTACAGTGAGCTTAGTTTATGTCACTCTCTGCCTGTCCTCAGAAAAATAACTATTTACTCCATGTCTACCCTGAACATAGAACATATAGAGAGAGATCAGTGGCCCCAACTAACTCATTTATATGAAATGATCAGTTTCCTGAAGTGTTCATTTGTTCAAGATTGTTGCTTATAGATAATTGTTTCCTATCTCTAAAGATAATTCAGGATGCCTAAGTGTCTCCAGAAAAAAAACGCTATACCTAACCAAACCCAAATATGAGAAAATCTAACTGCAAGAAAATTATCAGTTTATGTGCTACTGTTATGATACATTTCACATTAACTCTTGAGGATACACTTGGTGGTCTCTTTTTGTCTTTATCTCGGCCCAAGATCCAAACAGCAAATACATGTCTTATAATTATATTAATGGGGAAAAACCCCTCCCCCAAGATGGAGATATGATTTGATTATATTTAGGTAAGAAATATGTACAATAAAAACCAAGACCAACTGAAAAAGCAATAGTGGTTCTGTTAATATATGGGATTATACTTTTGTATCCTCTTTGATTGTTTTGTTACCAACTATATCATTTTTACAAAGAAAATAAGGTGTAAAACTCAAGAAAACTGGACTATGTATTGAAACACACACTTTCTCACTTATGGGCATGGAAAACAAACTCACTATATGACATTTAATTCAGACTTTAATTTCCAAGAAATAAACTCCATAAAGCATTCTTGAAGAAATTTAAGGGCTGTCAAAATACATGTCTGCATCGTGTTCCATAACACATTGTATAAGACACTGAATAACATAAAATAACATATAAAACTACAGCTGTCTGTTGCACACCATTATCATATTTAAGTACTGTTTAAAAATCTATGGTATTGATAAGTGAATCTAATATCACTTTAAAGTTTTCATCTAAAAGAGTATCAAAAGTTATTTATTTTTTATTTCCTTACGTGTTCCTTTCTTGTCTCCAGATGAAAACAAATGAGCAATTAAAGGCATCATAGAATTCTATGGTTCTGTGGTTTTGAACATGATCACACATTCAAAAACACCTACAGAAAGAATCTATAGGAGGGAAGTTTTACATACAACATTTACCTGGAATCAAAAACACCTACAGAATGAATCTATAGGAGGGAAGTTTTACATACAACATTTACCTGGAATCAGACTGTTTAAACAACACCTTGACTTTTGAATTTGATACAGAAGCAACTACCAACAATCTAAATTCAAATATTACAAGTGAAGATATTCCAACACAAAGACCTGAATAATTTTGTTTAGATTGTCAATGGTTGACTCATCCAGATTTTCTTCATTGTCGTCCATAGTGTGCCAGACTTCAGGGAAGGGAGAAGCTATCAGATGAAGAACCGGAACACCTGATGGGAGAGAAGCGCCTTGTAAGTTAGTACAAGTCTCCAGGGGTCAACCAGAAAGCGCTATTTGTAAGCAAAGGCAGCTCTGCATCTTATAAGACATCTGACAATTCATTGTCTCGCGTGCACACCTTTATATCTTGAAGCATGAGTACTTTAAGGCTTGTCAAACAAATGCCAATCGATGTAGTAAGAGATGCTAAGGATCCTACTGTCTACGAGAGAGTGTTCTAGGAGTGAAACGGCAAGGCCTTGCTGGTGTGGGGAGAGAAGCAAGTGCTCAAGGCACAATCATGGGCAGGGCTAGAGCGTTTCAGCCAGGACTAAATGAGGTCTGGGGTAAGGATGGAGGGCGGGCAGGGGGCCTGGATGAGGAGCTATGTAAATCTAGGGAAGGCCCTCTCCAGAAGCTAAAATTTAAATGGAGGCACAAGCCCAAGAGAAAGCCAGGCAAAGATGAGTGTTGTGGGCAACAATATTCCCAAGTGCAAAAATCACGAGGATTGCCAGGAACAGGGCCATGTGGCCAGATCACAGAAAGGAGTTGAGAAGAGAAGGAGGAGATGATTTTGAAACAGAATCAGAAAATGGAAGAAGTCCTTTTAGGCCACAGTAAAGATTTTCCATCTTACTCTATAAAACAGCAAACCACTTGGCTGTAAAACAGTATTAGCATACTTTGATTTACAGTTTTAAAAGTTGATTCTATTTTATGTGCAAAATAAAATTGAGAAGCAACAGTAAGACCAGTAAGGAGGCAACGTAAGAGTCACAGAGTTAACTTAGGTTTTCACATCTGGACACAAGTTATCTTTCTTATCAACCAGGCCACATCAAAGTTGCAAGAATGTAACTTAACTTTATGAACTGCAAGGCAGGATGTCAGTGGGTTCTGGGATTTCCTAAATGTATTACAGGTACAGAGAAACAAAGATGCCATCAAGAATTTAGGAGGTCTTTCATGAGAAAAAAGAATCTGTGAGTGAATGACATAATGGCTGAATTAATAAATTTATCATATCTAATGACTCTCCACTTCTAGATTGTTTCAAATCGGGGAAAATGGTAATTATTGTGTAAATTCAGTGCTATATATAAAGCTCAACTTAGCTATTGTCCTGAAGACTTAAACACACATGTGTTTAAGAAACAGAACTCTGAGAAAGGGCGGAGTTAAGGACAGCTCTCAGCACTCTGCCTTGAGCAGCTGGATAAATGTAGATCATTTGCTGAAAATGGCGAGTCTAGGAAAGCAACATTCCATGCCACTTCTCCTTCCATGCCAATGAACAATAATGGGCTCTATCATTTCATCTGACAGTCCAAGAAGAGCGGTTGTTGGGGGAGGAGTCTTTTGCTTCATTTTATTCTGCCTGTATTTACTTTCTTTAATTTTTTCATACAATATATTTTGATCATATTTTCCCCTTTCCCCAGCATCATCAAGATACTCCCTACTCTCCCAATTTTGTGTTCTTTCCCTCTTTCTAAAATAAAAATATCAAAACAAACAAAAAGGCAAAAATACCAAAGCAAAACACACACACACACACACACACACACACACACCATGGAGTCCATTTATGTTGACCAATAGGGTTTGCCCTGGGGTGCAGTTAACATACTCACTATCACTCTGTTGGAAAAAAATTATTTTCCCTCTACCAATGGATATAAATTGCAAATCACTTCTTGGTTATGGGTGGGAATGTATGTCCGATTACCCAGTAAGGGGATATTAAACTATTGCAAGCTGCATCTGAATAATACCCAGCATCACTACAGACCAGGTAAGGATGTGTCTAGATATCTCCTTATCATTTAATTTGGTTTAATTATCTTTATAGCAAAATATGTATATTTCCTTTTAAAGATAAGCTCTCATTCAAATTAATTTTAATGACTATTTTAGACCTTTTAAAGCACTTATATTGGTCAAAACATTAATATATAAATTTAATTTGATCAACCTTAAGGAATCATGAGATTAGTGATTCAAAGTGTACCAAAACTATTCATATTTAATTTTCTTCTCAAATATATGCAGTGATTGGAGACCCAGAAACCTTCACCATTAAAGAAAAGCTACCTAATGATACCAAGGAGCCTAGTAAAGATTATGGGGGCAGGGGAGCTCTTTTTGCGCTGGGCAAAGGTAACTGCAGAGACCCATAGCGGATAAGGTGAGGAGAATAAATGTCTGTTGAATGTTAAGCCATCAATTAGACATCTACATCAGCTAAGGCTCAGCGGACATCAGAGATGAGGGGCGTAAAGGATGGGAGAAATAGGGAGTGTGGAGAGAATGGTGGGAAGGGCAAGCACAGCATGGCCACGAGCACTCTTGAAGTCACAGCATCTGCAGTCTGTACCAGATCTCTGCAAGACTGGGCCCACAACATCACGTCATGGAGAATGGACGATCTCATGAGATCTCACCCCTCTCTGAGGACTTATATATGCTTATAATGGTTGCTGGGGGAGGAAAAGACATATACAACAGTGCTGTAGGTACTGGTAAGATGCCCATAAATAACCCTTCATCTGTTCTCCTGTAAGCAGCCCTAATGAAACCCACTGGGTCTTTAAAAATACATGAAAGGGGAATGGAAATTAGTTGGGAAAAGGGAAGGGAGTAACAAGAGAGGGAGAGGGACAAAAGGGGCAAAGGGAAACAAGTATGATCAAACTACATCAAATACATATATGGAAATGTCATAATGAAACACGCTATGTACAATTAACATAGTAATCAAAATGAAAGGTAAAAAAGAATGTGAAAATGATATTGTTTTAAAATTTCAAAGTGCACACAAAATATAATAAATATAGTAGGTACAGAAGGGAAAATGCACAATAATACACAGTTACCTTTTCTTAAAAATGGAATATGGTCATCCTGGATAATATTTCCGTAACCAAAATTCTGGAAATACCTCCTCTCCAAAGAATGATCCTTGAGCAAACCCAATTCATAGAGTTCTTGTTCTGCAGACAACAATCAGACAGTAGGTGAACATCTAGTTTTATCTGATAAAGACTCAGAATCCATCCTGATTTAGGGAGCTTGAAGTCTTATCACGCATCAGCAAACACAGCCCCATCTATGACAGTAAATGTCTAGCCTTCTCCTTCTCCTGTACACTTTAGAGGAGATTAGGGGCAAGGAGTCACACAGGACTCTGCTTTTCTGGTGAGGCCCTATTCAAAGGTAGAAGCTCAACAGCACAATGGGAAGATTGAGAAGGAGAAAATAAGAGTCAAAGGTGTTGGGGAAACTCAGGTGCAGATACAAACAGGCTCAAATGGTGCATGGGGAATGCCTACAGAGGGATGTTGGCCTTAAAAGTGGAATACTCAAACAGAGTAGAATGAAGTATATCTGCTGGCCACTCTAGGGGAAAGACATCTATATCAGTGATTTCCAAGATGTGGGTCCTGATCAGTGGCCTCAAGCACCACCTGGTAACGACTTAGAGATGCAATTAGCTGGTACAACCTCAGATTTAATGAATCAGAAATTTTGGGGCACGGCCCTGTAATCTATGCCTTAGCATGCACTCGGGGGATTCTGATCTACACTAAAGTTTGAGAACCCATCGCTCTTGTTATCTGGTAACATATAGCTCATGTTATACATAGCCCATGTGATGTTTGTTACAAGATGATAAGAGATCAAGCGATTATGAAACAAGGAAAAGAACTCACTGGGATAGCTCTTCATTTTGTGATTGTTAAATTACAAGGGAAACTGTACCAGTAGTCAAGCTTGTATAGTGGGGTTTTAAGAACATTGAGAAGCCCCAACTACCAACAAAAATAATATTCCTATTTATCAATATTTATACCTTAACCATAGGGTACATTTTTCTTATACAACTAAAGACATAGTTAATGGTGTAAATCCCATGAAGAACAACACAATAGATTTTAATCTCAGTTACAATAATCACAATTTATTGATATGTGCATTTTGGAAAAGGAAATAAGGGAGTCCTTGAGTATAAGACAAAGGAAGAAAATACGTGACAAAAAGAGATGGAAAATTAAATTCAAGAGTATCTCTTGGCATCATTTCTAAGACTCTAAAAATGTAGTGCTTTGATGTTTGCATTTCAAAATAGAATTCCATGCAGGAAATGCACTGGGCCTCTTGACAAATTAGGAATAATAAACTAATTGGTAGGGTAAGACAAAAGCCAGACAAGTATGTTACTATTTAAAGAGCACACTTAATCATAAATTCTGAATTTTAAAGTATAGAGTTATCAGTAGGAAGAAACAACATTTTGCTCTTTAATAACTGTGGTGCTTACCAATTGCTTGGAGTCTACTAAACCATCTGGTAGTCCTAGGGAAAAAATTGGGAAATGTTGGGCTTGCAGCTCCAATTAAATCTAGTAAGACCAACAGATCCTAAGGGAGAAAAATATCACTTAGTCACAGTCATCACCAAGGCATGTTTCAGATCCATTAACAGAGAAAAACAATCAAAACTAAATGCATTTTAGTACTTGAGAATCACACAGAGAGCTTATACAAATGGACAAAGGATTTAGTAACAGTATTTGCTAACCATTTTAGAGAAGTTTTTAGATCTTGTTTATGCAACATGGATGAACAGTGATGTATTATACACCAAATGAGCGTAACCAAGGATAGATTTGATGCATATTTCACAAATTGTAAAAGAATACATTTGCTTGTTTTCAGATGGCTCAAACATGCCTGATCTTCTATGCCATTATAATTAGGCATTTTCAACTTTAATCTATAATGATAGGGGAGCATGTGGATGGGAGCAATGACTCATACAGTATGAAAGAAGAGACCTCCAAAGCATGTATATATCATGCTGCTGGATCGCCATTCCTTGTGTAGCAAGCAAAGTTTCTCAGCACAGCTACTCTGCAACATCTCCTGGTTATATAACCTTCCATATGAAACCAGCGTCCCTTAGCTTATCTGAGCCTTGAAGCACCAGCAGGCTTGAGGATCCCTGAAGACCACACCCTAAATCAGTCCTCCTGATGTAGATAAGTGAAATAATGTCCGGGTAACTACCTAGAGTGAAATTTGCCATATACTGAATAAATGTTTTCAGAATTCATGATTCCAAAGACATAGTATACACAAGTGATATAGACATACACACATATATAATTGATATGCATATTCATTCATTTGGAAAAATATTTGTTTGAAATAGGAACATACTTAGGAGATTGGATAAGTCTCTGAGAAAAAAAAAAGGTTCTTCCATCGCTGTGGGTCATAAATCTGGACTGAAAATAACTACTAATTATCTAGGTCTCTCCTCCTTTTCCTGGACCCTTTTGAGCCACTCAGGAACAATGAATGAGCGAAGTACTGCCTACATGTTTTTGGTCTATGGCAAGCTGTCAATGTACCTGAGAAAGCCATGTTCACATGAGGAGTGTTAAGGGAAACTCAGATGACACTGATTGCATCGATTTGTAGGGTGAAGGCCAGTAACATGAGAAACAACGGGATGCGTGCAGGCAGAGTGGAGGGCTAGGGGAAGTGTCGAGAATAATGCAGACAACACTGGGAGGCAGGGAGTCCCAAGCACAGTACAAGTCTCTAAGCTGGGCTTGATGAGGACTTAGTGACAAAATGAAGACCACCTATGGGAAGACAGTCACAGGAGAGGAGTTGTGGGCAGGGCACAGAATGAGGAGGAATTGAGGTTTGATAATGTGCCCACTACATAGTAATAGCAGCAGGATTTTAAGCCATCCTTAAATGTCTCTACCCTCACATCAAAAATACCAAATAAACCTACCACATCAAATTGAACATCCATACTGCAGTCGCTATATTGCTTTGAATCTATGGGAGATTCCTCACTCTGTCCTATTTGCTCCATTCCCGGGGGTTCCCGTCCTCCTCTGACTGAGAAAGGCTTTCTCTCTCCATACCACACAGTATTTGGGACAGGAGGGTGCTCTCATACTGAATCCAATGGCTCTTAATGTGATTTTCACATCATCTTAATTAAGCTCAGCCAAACAGAGCTTCTAACATAGAATCATTCTTTTTAGCTCTGGGATTCCTCAAAAATCCAGTGCTTGCCAGGGAATGTCCTACAATAAACAGTGCTCTGAGGACTTCGTGGCACTTTTAGGTCTTTACTTGGCCCTCGCAGCCTTCTCCCTAGAGCTACAGAGCCAAGGTAACTCAGACTAACCATGCCATCCAGTTGGTTGGTGCCTCTCGAACCAGGAGGGTGTGGGGTTGATGCCATCTTCTGGGCTAAGTGCCGAGATCCATACAGAGAATCTCGAGGAGACCAGTGAAGAAAAGCCTCTTCTCCATCAAAGAAAATTAATCGAAGCGAGAGATCTGGCTTGGAACCAGAGACATCCTGGTTAAAGAGAAGAGAAAAGAAAAAGTACAATTTGAAAAATTAAACAATACCAAATGAAACTCTAACTCTGACCAATCACAGACTCCCAAACTATATTAAAAAGCACTAAGTGAGGACATATTGACCTGGCATTGTCTTCAGAGATATCTATGAACACTATATCTTCAAAATGGGTTCATGGTGATTATCAGTGGGGGGGGGGCAAAAATGCTACAGTCAATTACAAACTCACATTCCTTCCTAGTAAGTGAGCAAACAGATGTTCTATGAAACAAAGATGTCCAAACAAGTGAAGATATGCCAAAAGTTACATCACAACACTTCAGCTCCAAACATCATCACACCATGCAAATCCCACTCCTGAAACCAAATGTCTTACATTGGGTCCTACTCCCTACCGAATAGTTAAACTGCGTGGCTTGCCACAGAGCTCCCCTGCAGGTGGCTGTGTTGTCCCAGCTTCAGTCTCTCTTGGGCTACAGCTCCTGGAAGTATCCTGTATCCCATGACTGCCCTATTCAGGCACTGTGGCTCTCCACAGGGCACCACCTCCACCGCTCCCCAGAGGTTTGCTGAGGCTGCTGTAAAACCCACACTGCAGCGCCATTGCTCACTCCTCCTAGTCCCGTTTCGTCCCTCTCCGTGCCGATCCAAGGCCACTCCCTACTGGCTGACCTGAATGCTCATCGGATGATGTTCCACCTTGGAATGTGCTTCCTCCGTACCCAACCTGAACCCCGCTGAAGTCTAAAATGTGTTACCGAATTTTAGTTCAAAGGTCTGCCCAAGGAATGATGTAGGGACACAAACAAAATAATTACAGTAGTCTTCTTTAGAGCCTATAATTTGGCGAGTTAGGAGAGAGATAAAACACAGGCATAAGCATGGTATGTAAAATGCCAAGGAGCTATTCATCCACTGAAGACTGGGGAAAATGAGAGATGGAGTCCTTGGGACATCAAGGAAAGTTTTGTGAGAGACATTATTTGAGCAAACTTAAAAGGTTTACATTTTTTATTGTCTGGCCATGACTCTCCTTTTGGTATCCTTAAATCTCACCAGAATCCCCAAGGCCACTAAATCTTACCTCTTCACAGCTACATTCCTATACAGACCCTATTTATTCCACATTTGGCCAAATTCCTGGCAATCATTCCAATCATTCCTTTGCCTCTCCATTTTCATGGAATAATAATAACATGGAATACCATTCTCTACCCATTCTTTAATTATTCTTAAGACGCTGAACCTGGCCAGGACAAAAATAAACAACCATGCCATTTGCTAGCTTAAAATCTGTGACCAGAAGCCCAGAAGTGGTGCCACACATCTTTAAAACCCAGCACTTGGGTGGCAGAGGCAGTGGCTCTGTGAGGTCGAAGTCAGCCTAGTCTACAAAGTGAGTTCCAGAACAATTAGGGATGTTACATAGTGAAATCCTGTCTTAGAAAAACAAACCCATGACCAGAAATTTCAATACAGCCTTCTGTAAGTCATACGTATTTCCTGGATCCATTCACTCTCACAAAACATTTCACACTCTTCCATTCCCGTCCTCACTTCCAGGTGATGGCCTTGATTTCTTCTTGCCAGGCTCAGTAGGTACCAATCTCTCCACATATGCACTGAATTCCATCTCCCCTTGTGTGCTAGAGGACATTACTGTAGCAAACACTATTTATTCTACATCAAGTTGTCTATCTCTGGATATTGCTATGGGTGTATTATCTCCACTAACTGCTGACCCCTTGCCCTATTTGTAGAAAAACTTGCTGGGAGAGTTCCGTATTTGTACTGTGTCAGGAACCTATTCTTGAGTTCCTTTTTTTTCCCTATAATATTGGGGATTAGATCAAAGATTCCATGCATGGAAGGCGAGTGCTCTGCCAACTGAACCATGGACCCCAGGCTTTCTAGGAGTCCTGTCCTTAAGTCTATTCCTGCAGGCTTCCTACCCTCCATCTACTGAAACTAATCTTGTCAAAAACACCTATGACCTATGCATTGCTAAACCCAGAGGTCAACTCTAAGTCTCCATCATTCTTGACTGCATCTAACATAACTGTTGCTCCATCCTGAGTAGAATTCTTCCATTTGCCTCCTAGGACACCAGCTTCTTCCTCCCTCAGTCAGGAGATGGAATTCAGTGTGTAGGTAGAGAGACTGGCGCCTAGTGAGGAAATCAAGGCCACTCCTTGGAGTGAGGACGGGTGATGTAAGGAACTGTAGGTTAGGGAAAGGAGGAGTGTGAAATACTCAGTCTGAGAGAGAATGGACCCAGACAATGCAGATTCCTTCATGTCTCTTCTCTCTTAGACACCAAAGAGCACTGGGGCTTGCTCCCTGGTTCTCTTCTCATTTCTACAGTGTCTATCCCTTGTATACCTATTCTGAATTGTGTGTGTGTGTGTGTGTGTGTGTGTTCTCACATCTCCTCTCCAGAAGGCAAATTAACACCTCCACACAGATGTTTACTAGACACCACCCACATGTGTGCACATGAATGTATTTAACATATACCCCAATTTTTTAAAACAGATATCTCTGACAGAATTGTCAAAAATCAGCTGCTTATACCCCTGAAACTGCAGTATCAATAATCTTCCCCAAGAAAATCGATGGCAACACTGCCCCTTGCAATTACTCAGACCAAAAGCCAGTGGGAGGCTCCTCCCTCCCTGTTTCTACCCAAAGACGACCAGAATAGTTACATCGTCAAACATCTCCCATGCGTTTGAGCCTCATCAGTCAGGCTGGCTTGCTTCATACAGATGCGCACTTCTCGGAGCCTCTCTGCTTGTTCCAGCCACCCAGGCGGCTCGCTTCCTCTGGTCAGCTTTCACCGCCACCCTGGGGTCCCTCTCTTCTGCTCCTGTACCCACCGCCCCAGGACTTCATCTTCTGTGGCTTCCTGGCTTTGTTCCCCTTAATTTTGGTGGAGCAAATTTAGATAACACTTCCAAAATGAAACAGTGCATAAGAGTGAAAATTCACTGACATTTTAAACGTGTAAAAAAAGTTTTTGTCCTGTGATTTCATGTGGCAAATGATTCTTTTTATTTTAAGGCATAACACCATTGTTTTCTAGCTCCCAAGATTCCTATTGGGAAGTCCAGTGTCCTTTTAATTCTTGCTACTTTTTATATGACCTGGAAAGATCCCACGATCAATCAAGTTCATCATCATTTTATTTTTTTCCTTCTTTCTAGAGAAAAAATACTTCATATGCTTCAGAATCCTATGTTCCTAATGCCTTTTTAGAAACAGTATTTTTAATTTCATAATTCTAAGAGCTCTTTGCTATGATACGATTATTCTGTTATTGAATACTCTGTTTCCTTCCATGAATAAGGATCTTTAAGTAGTGTCAAGCTGTCTTCTGCCCCTTGCACTATTCTATTTCCTCCAACTTCACGTTGCATAATTAGTTTTTCTTGCTTTCTTCCACAGTGGAAACTGTTTGCCAATATCTGGCCACACCTGGTGTTCATTTGTATTGAAGAACACGGTACTAAATTGTTCACTAGAGACAGAAATTGGCTGGCTGTACTGCAGACTTCAGAGCAATCTGGTGTCTATTCGGTGTTCTCATTTAAGATTGCCAAATGTGCCCCCTTGGCATCCTTTTCTGTGGCATCTGCATACTCTAAAAGAAGATCCTCCAGTCCTCTGTCTGCTGCTGGCCTTCTGGTGCTAGGAACAGGAGAACACCTGAAGACCTCACTGCTCACCGTGGTGTTCAGCTAATCTCCCTGATCTCTCCGGAGATGGCAAGCACACACCCACCTCACATCCCTACCGTCTCACTGTCCAAGACAAACCAACAAAGACGGCCACAGCCGAGGGACACGGGTGTGCCCTGGCTACAGCGGGAAGCCACAGCAAAGGGACAAGATGACAATATGTGACTGCTGTCCTATTGATGGAGGCGCGTGGGAAGGGCTGCGGAGAGCCGGAACAACGATCCCATCTGCTATCCAGACCGCTTCCCGCCACCAGTCGCCCAATTCACGACAACTAAGAAGCAAATTAAGTTCAAATCAGCTGTGAATAACCCTGATGCAGTTTGCATTCAGCATTCGCCCATTCTAAAGCTTGCTCACGTCAGCCTCTAGTAGACAAGGCAATTACTCCACAGAGGGCATGCACGGCGCTGGTGGTTTTCTGAGGATCCCCACTCAGCAACCCAGTCCCTTCTGACTCTTTTCTTTTTGCTGTTACTGGGTCTATCGCTGTAATCACTATGACTTTCGTCAGACAGGGTCTCACTATGTAGCCCTAGGTCACCTGGATTAACCATGTAGTCCGGGACGGTCTCCAGTCCATGGCAATCCTCTTACCTCAGCCTCACAAGAGGTGAGATGACCGGGCTGTACCACAATACCCACCGTGGCCCTTTCTATTTCTCATACCAAACCTGGTGTGTGCTGTGTGAGGGACGTTTGTGCCAAGCAGAACTACGCCTTTAAGTCACACCACATCCACTCCATGTCCTTCTGTTAAAATGGCCCGTCTCCTTGTGGATTCCCTCACCCATTGCTAGGGACAGTTACCAGTTCAAAGCAGGGCAAGGCAGAACAAAGGCGTTACAGAAGGCTCAGAAAACAAAACAAAATGTGAAAAGGATACCAACAGGGTATAAACAATCCTTGCTTTCTTCAAGTTCTGCATATCCGGCAAAAACAGAACCAAATATCTCTATTGCTTCCATTACAAGATAAACCTTTTATGTCTCTGCTCTCATTGTATCAAAGGCTGGACCCTCCATAACGCCCAGGGTAATGGGAAGCATTTGCTGCCAGTGAACAACGTTTTTGTATTCACTTTGTCATGTTCACTGTTATGAGCAGTATCAGAATAAAACGTCTTCATCTAGCATAGCACTTTCTCCCAGCACACCCTGAAGAACACAGAGACTGAAATAAAATCTGAGAGTCCCAGAAGTGTTCTGAGCTTCAGGCATTAACAAAAGCTCTGCTATGCTATGTAAAAGTAAGCCCTGACCCACAGATACAAGAGCACATTTCTGTCTTGTGCCATTCACCGCGGGGTGTCTGAATTACCCACACACTGGAGGTCTTCCCCAGCCCTCCCCCAACTCCAGAACCACCCTCGCTCCCAGCCGAAGGTTGTGATGTTCAGGGCTGTATAAACAGGGAGACACAAGCATGGCTCGCTGTAAAACCCCTCACGCCTGTCCTTTTGCTTCATTATTTGCAAAGAAACATTGTGCTCAATTGAATATCTATTCAAGTCTGAGATTTCAGGTGTCAGTTAGGGAACACACTGTCATCCATCTGTGAATTACTTACTGCCCATGGTAGACATCTCCAAGTACCACTCCTCCCACCTCATAATTTTTAACCAGTTATTTAAAAATGTACCCCCAAAGCTCTGATTTCCAAATGACCTTCCCCTCCAAGGATTCTAGAATTCGCAGAGTTGCTGCTGCTATTTCTTTTAATCCTAGGAGTCAACAAAAAAAAGAAAGCATTTACCTTCAAGGAACGGAGTTTCTTGTCTAGGGCACGAGCTAGTTCCAACATCATTGCGCACGGCACAGCTGAATCGGTGGCTCCCACAAACACTCTGCTGCCCCACTGAGGTAAATATTTGGAGTCATAGTGGCAGGCAAGGACCAAGTGTCGTTTAGCTTCTGGGTTAAGAGTGCTGATGATATTTGAGAAGGACCGGGACCCGTAGGGTGTCTGACTCAGGAAGGTATCCACTTCCACGACCCACTCAGCCTGAAGCCTCCGAATTCGCTGCAGGATGTGCTGGTCAAAACAAATGGTTTTCATCGGTTAACTGTGTCTCTGACATCCTATGCGATGCTGTCTTTGGTTGCTGTTGGAAACAGAGTCTCACTCTGTAGCCCAGGCTGGACTGAAACTAAGTGCCCAAATGCTGGGATTACTGGCATACAAGCTTCACACGCTTACTGTTAGTAAAAACAACATTACTAGTAGTTGTTGTTTTAATTAACAGCAATTTCTCATGGAAAAGAGGCCTATCTCCCTCAGTCCTAACCTTTTGCGTATATATCCATCCCATTCAGTTGTCAATATTTACCAGTACTAGCAATCTGATGTAGATCTTTCTACATTCTTCTCCTCGATTGCACAAACCTCACCAGCATACAAGCACGTATATTGTAAGAGGGAGGGTCTTCTTTTGTAGGAAATCTGACACACTTTACATAATATTCTACCCTTGCTTTTTCCACTTAACCATCTATTGTGGTCAGGCGACAAATCCAGTCAGCACTCCTACTTTTAACATTTGTAAGAAGCTGAGGTAGTCTGAGAAATTAAACATATCAATCTATAAGCCTCCCCTCTAAGCTCCCAGTGTCAGCTCTGTGGTGTGTGTGTGTGTGTGTGTGTGTGTGTGTGTGTGTGTAATGCACAGAATGTGCTCCAAGTCTTACAAATGCTTCATATGCAGTGAACATAAGACACAAACACCTACCTAAAGTAAGAATCAATAAGCAACTCTGATGCTAGTTTTCCTTCTATATCCAAGTCCTGAATCTCTCAGCATCGCCTCGTGGCTACTCTGGACCTTCTGAGCAGCACAATGACCAAGGCAGGAAGCAGGAATCTGAGAGAGAAACACTATGCCAGGTACTGCAAGATTCTTCCTTAGGAATCTAAAGTTTTTTGCTATGAGAAGTTAGAGATGAGCTCATTGCTATTTCATTTTGTCTTTTCCCCATCCTTATTTTTTTCCTTGGCCTCATTTCCCTCTTTATATTTCTTTATTTCCCCCTCTAGTATTGTGTTCATCTCTGTGAGATGCCTTATTAAAGTTTTTTCCAACCTCAAACACAAATTAGTCATTACAATAACTGACAATTGACCCTCAATGAATGTCTAAAAAGGAGGGACCTTGAGATGATGAACAGATAACTCACAACTGCTAGAAACAAATGGGAGGGATATTTCTCCTCCCAAAGAAATACAGGATTTTCTACTCTGGCCAAGTGTTGTGTGGCCTGTGGCCTGCTGATGTAACATGACACACAGGCAAAAGGGCTTTAGACAAGCTGGAGAAAGAAGCTTCCAAGGAGAGGGGAGCTTAAACAGTGGGGCGAAGGCTCTAACACACACACCATCGACCTGGAAAAAGTCAAACAAACAGAACCCTTTGTCCTGTGCAGTTGTCAAGTTAGTCTTTACCCGAAGCACTCTTTGTGTCCCTCACCTTCCTTTCCCTACTATTCGACACGTCGTCTTTGTTCAGGCCATAAAAAGAAATGTCTAAAGCCTTTTCACTGTGCATCTAAGATGAGTTTTTCCAAAGAAGATGAAAATGAGTTATCCCTAGACTTTGTTTAACTCCAGAACATCTGGTGTCCAGATGACAAACCGTTCCATAAAATGGCTTCTTGACACTGATAGTAGCCTCGGAAATGAATTGGGATTTTAAAATATCTGTAAAAGGTTATCTGTGAGCATTGTTCAGGAGGCTCACCCAGAACCTTGTTTCTCTCTTAGCTCTCCTCCCTTGGCCATGACTTCTGACATCTATAGGCATACTAACATCCACAAAGAATAAAAGTCGGAAAGAGCTCCAGATAGCTGTCCCTGAAGGAACCTTTCTGCATGCAGCATAAATATTTTTAGTTATCTTAGTAACTAAGATGAAATTAGGATACCAAGACTCTCTATAGTGTTTTCAGCTTTCAGATTTATTTAGTTTCCAAGTCTGCGACAGAAGTCTCTTAAGGGGGGAGTTCCCCCAAACCACTGCTTTTATCACCATATTTCTAAGGTTTAAACATCAATGTCTCCCTGACTCAAAGGGATTATCCTTCCAGGAAGGATGAAGGGTGAGGGTTGGACAGACTATTACCTGGCATTCTGGTTCTGGGTGAGGTAATGGGGAAAGTTGTTCTAGCTTAACATTAGTGAATGGTTCTAGGTCTAATTTAATTAAATTAAAATTCTGATTTTGAGTATCTGAGAGATTGTGATTGATGGGGTTGTCCTCCTGTATATATGTTTCTCTTATTGGTTAATGAATAAACTGGGGCAGGGAGTGGGCTTGGAGGGGAAGGAGAGGGAGCTGGGACTGACATGGGAAGCAAGCTTGTTTCTAATTTAAATATATAATTAAAAAGTGTAAAAAATGAATAAACCACTGTTTGGCCAATAAGGCAGGAAGATAGGTGGGTCTGGGAGACAAGGAGAATTCTAGTAAAGGTAGACAGAGTGAGCCCGCCACACCAAGTCACCATGCTGCGGGAAGAGTAACACCATGTGCCGGGGCATTACCAGAGCTAGCCAATAAGAAATCCTAGTTACCAGCCAACAGTTTAATAATTAATATAGCATCTGTGTGTTTATTTGGGGCTGAAGCAGTTATGGGACCAGGTTGTTTGGGTGGAAACTTCCTGCAGCATGTGACATCATCAGTAGACCAGGATTGTTCAGAGGAAGTAGTCTGCAAATGTGTAGATTGTCAGGGCTCTGACTTCCAGTTAACTTTTCTCTGGGCTATTCCCCCACACAGGCTCTGGTGATCCAAGCTAAAGACACTCCACCCAGGGTCCCCCATTGAGGACGGTGCAATAGCAATATGTACAACCTTTCACTAAGTTCAGTTTTGACTTCCCACAACTCACTGTGAATCCCTGATTTCTCTGGCATATCTCTTTTAGAAAAGGGTCTTGATTGTCCCTCATGAGAATCTGCAACCCTTGTGACTCAATTTACTTTCTGTGTCTACACTAGAAATAACTGAAATGCCCCCGGTTTATAGCCTTAGATTTACTTGTCTTATAAATAAACTACCTCTTTAAATAAAAATATTGAAATAATTCATTAGCCAGTTCGGGACCCATTGACCAAAGATGGTAATGCAAGTCTTAAGACAGGATTCTCCAACACATTTTAAACTCTAAGAGATCTCATAGCCATGTGCATCTGTACTGTGACTGAAAGAGTTTTAGATGGGTATTTACTTTTTTATTTTTATTATTTTGTGTAGGAACATGTCTGAGTGTGGGTATGTGTGAGGCCAGAGGGGTTGGGTTTCTGTAGAGCTGGAGTTCTAAGCAGCTGTGAGCCACTCAGTGTGGGCGTTAGGATATATGTATGTGTTGGGGGAAGTCCTGTGCATTTGTCAATAAAGTACTGTTGAGCCTATAGGGAACCAAGATAGGAGGGACTAGGAGTCCAGGAGAACTCTGGGAAGGAGAAACACAAGAAGTTCGAGATGTAACACCATGGGGTAGGATCCCAGAACTATTCTCCGGTAAGAGACATACTTAGATTAACAATTATGGGGTAATTACTTAAGTCAGAGCTAGCCAGTAAGAAACAAGCAAGGCCAACAGCTTCATAATTAATATAGCCTCCTGTGTGTTTATTTGGGACTGATGCCGATCTAGAACCAGGCGGGCGGGAAGGCATTCTCTCAAAGAAAAAGCTTCTCTTAGCATGTATGTATATGTTTATGTATATGTGTATGTATGTATGTATGTAGATAGATAGATAGATAGATAGATAGATAGATAGATAGATAGATAAAAAGAAAGGAAAGACGGACGTGAGGAAGGAAAGGATGGGAGTTAGCCATCATCGTCATCATCATTGTTCCACAGTGTCTCTGGAGGCTGAGAGAACTAAGTTTGTTAGGGTCTCATTTACAAGAGCTATTCAAGTGGGAAGCAGAAGGCCAAAAAGCCAGCAAACAGGTCTCCCCGGGCTGCCCAGAAGCTGTACTGCAGATCCAGGAGAGCTATGAGTGGGCAGATGAAACACACAGACACAGCCAAGGTTTTTGTCTAAGAAGTTGAGCAAGCAGGATATTCAGTAAGAGGCCCTGTGAGGCCAGTGTCTTTCCCTCCCAAGCTGTCTCCAGTCTGGGATTAGTCTGAGAAAGCAGGCCCGGGGAGGCAGATTTCATACTGCTCGGGCAGACTGACAGGACACAGAGAAGTTCAAGGTCCAGTCCAGCTCATGGTTTATTTACTCTACAGCAGTGTCATCTGAGCAGCAGTAGCAAAATCAGCGAGCCTAGAAATCAGCTTAGTGGGTCACCATGGGCATTTCCTTCAATTCACAAAACAGAATTCACAATGCCCAAGCAAATTACAGGTGATGACAAGGAGTAGTTTTCCAAAAACTTCCATTACAGCTAAATATATTGTTGTACATCCTTGTCTATGAAATATACAATGTTTCTACTGTAGGTCAAAGTTTGAGAAGTTCAACTCTAGATAGAAGTTAACCACTGTCCATAGCCCCCCTCCAAAAAAAGAAACAGTTTCCCACAAGAGGAAAGAAGGCTACCTGGGTGACTCACTCTTGTCCCGGAACTGCTAAGCAAGCAATATAAAAACTGTTGGAGTTTTGGATTTCAGAGCCCGCAAAGGTTGGTTAGCAGGCTAGGGGTGTGTTATTAAAGTGACCAAGAGTGGAGGAGTTAGTATCCTGTACTGTTGCTGCTCTAGTCATTACAGTGATTTCGCACACAAACTGATGTTCAGTACATAGGCATCAGTTAATCCAGAAGAGACGTTTATTCTCGGGTGTTACCTCTAGTTGTGAGTAATGAGATGATGTACCCAGATATTACACAACTCAGAACTCGAGCTATCATCTTAATCTTATCCCCCATGTAAGGCAAAGACTTTAGGGGTGTGTGTGTGTGTGTGTGTGTGTGTGTGTGTGTGTGTGTGCTGCACTCTCACCTGACCGGCGTGTTTGTGTGTGTGTGTGTGGTGTGTGTGTGTGTGTGTGTGTGCTGCACTCTCACCTGACCGGCATGTTTGTGTGTGTGGTGTGTGTGTGTGTGCTGCACTCTCACCTGACAGGTGTGTGTGTGTATGTGGTGTGTGTGTGTGTGCTGCACTCTCACCTGGCAGGTGTGTGTGTGTATGTGGTGTGTGTTTGTGTGTGTGTGTGTGCTGCACTCTCACCTGACAGGTGTGTGTGTGTGTATGTGGTGTGTGTGTGTGTGTGTGCTGCACTCTCACCTGAAAGGTGTGTGTGTGTATGTGGTGTGTGTGTGTGTGTGTGTGTGTGTGTGTGTGTGCGCGCTGCGCTCTCACCTGACCGGCGTGGTGTGTGTGTGTGTGTGTGTGTGTGTGCTGCACTCTCACCTGACAGGTGTGTGTGTGTATGTGGTGTGTGTGTGTGTGTGTGCTGCACTCTCACCTGACAGGTGTGTGTGTGTATGTGGTGTGTGTGTGTGTGTGTGTGTGTGCTGCACTCTCACCTGACAGGTGTGTGTGTGTATGTGGTGTGTGTGTGTGTGTGTGCTGCACTCTCACCTGAAAGGTGTGTGTGTGTATGTGGTGTGTGTGTGTGTGTGTGTGTGTGTGTGTGTGTGTGCGCGCTGCGCTCTCACCTGACCGGCGTGGTGTGTGTGTGTGTGTGTGTGTGTGTGCGTGCGCTGTGCTCTCACCTGACGGGCAGAGTAGCTTCCAGGAGATCCCGGATAGCGTTCTATCAGCAGAGGCCTCAAGTCGTTTTGCCACATTTCAGAAATACTGGTGCCTTCTGCAACTTGCCGAAGAGATGAAGAATTCAGATGAACTGGTTGATGGCGGTTCTGCAATTGAACAAAATGATTCAGCTCTCACTGCACCACGTTACATCTGCGATTAGATCTAAAACCTCAAAATACAAGGAATAAGGTTTGTGTCATATGGGGTTAAGGACTCAACTGTAAAACTGGACACTTGAATCTTCTAGGTTTTGGCAAATTCCTTTAAAAGCAAAATTGATGGTATGCTTTCACTTTGAGAATATTTCACACACAACCAGTGTAATTTAAAATTGTTTTTCTGGGTCATTGCATTGTAAAACTAAGGTTTAAAATAACAATTATGGGTTTGTGAGATGGCTCAGTGGATAAGCGCTTGCCAACAGGCCTGGAGACCTGAGTGCTGTCTCTGGAACTCATAGAGTGGGGGAGAAGAACTGGCTACAGCAAGTCAAGATGACCTCTGACCTACACTGCCACACACACACACACACACACACACACACACACACACATGCACATACACACCATGGTATACATATACACACACACATAAATAATTGCAATTAAAAGTTTTAAGAACAACTATATGTAGTACCAACACTTAGGAGTCAGAAGCATGAGGATCACAAGTTCAACACCTATATGGTGGCTCATAATCATGTAAAACTTTAGTTCCAGGGGAATCCAATGCCCTCTTCTGGTTTCTGTGGGCATAAAGCACACACATAGTACATAGACATGCATGCTGGCAAAACACACATACACATTGTGCTGGCTAATTTTGTGTCAACTTGGCATGGGCTAGAGTTATCTATGAAGAGGGACCCTCAACTGAGAAATGCCTCCATAAGATTGAGCTATAGGCTAGCCTGCAGGGCATTTTTTAATTAGTAATTGATTGAGAAAGGCTAAGCCCATGCTGGGTGCTGTCATCCCTGAGCTGTGGTCCTGGGTCCTGTAAGAAAGCAGGCTGAGCAAACCATGAGGAGCAAGGCCGTAAGCAGCATCCTCCATGGCTTCTGCATCAGCTCCTGCCTCCAGGGTCCTGCCTGACTTCCCTTAGTGATGGACTGTCACCTAGAAGTGTGAGCTGAAACAAACCCTGTCCTTCCCCACGTTACTTGGTCATGGTGCTCATCAGAGCAACAGTAGCCCTAACTACAACACACATAAAATAAAATAAGAACAAGTATTAAAAATAAAACAGTGAACTTTATTTTAGTTTCTGCTGGAAGTTTCCAACAGCTCACAGCTCATTGGCCCGGGGCAGCCACAGTGACAAATAAGAACTCCCATGTCAAAATCTGTTTCAGGAGCCAGCAAGATGTCTCAGTGGTTAAAGGTGTTTGCTGCCAAGCCTGATGACCTGAGTCTAATCCCCAGTTCTATATTGTAGGAGAGAATAGATTCTAGCAAGTTGTTCTTTGACCCTCCCCCAACCCCCTGACACTTTCTCTCTCTCTCTCTCTCTCTCTCTCTCTCTCTCTCTCTCTCTCTCTCTCTCTCTCTCTCTCTCTCTCTCTCATACTCTCATACACACACACACACACTACAGAAATAAATTAATAGGCATTCTCACTTACACACCTATTTTATCAGTGGCTCTTTTTGTATTCATTATCCATTGCTCCACCCCAGAGCCAACCTAGTCACTGTGGCCAGAGTTCTTCACCTCATGTCCACAGAGAAAAGAAGGCAAAGTTATGTTTAAATACTTGCTCTATAGAAGCTGGAAAAAATCCCAAAAGACAAGAAAAACAGATTAAATATTCCTGGAGCATCTCTATATTGGTTCCCTTTGACATCGCTGCGGCACAACACCAAACAAAAACAATTTAAGAAATGAAGGGTGCTGTTTGCTCAGTGTGAAGGTCCCCGATGCAGAGAAAGTGGCGCCGGCGCATGAGACAGCAGCGGTCACATTACATCCACAGTCAGGAAGCGGAGGGAGGTGAATGATGCAGAGAAAGTGGCGCAGGCGCATGAGACAGCAGCGGTCACATTATATCCACAGTCAGGAACAGGCGCATGAGACAGCAGCAGGTCACGTTACATCCACAGTCAGGAAGCGGAGGGAGGAGAATGATGCAACTTGGCTTGTTTTCGTCTTTTCATCCAGTCTAGGACTCTAGGGTGTGGGATGGTACAAACCACATCTAGGGTAAGTCTCCGCATGGCGGCTAACCCAACCTAGGAACTCCCCCACAGACAGACTCGGAGCTTTGTCTCCCAGGTGGTCCTACATTCTGTCAAATTAATGATCCGTGTGTAAGCATCACACCCACGAACTGTGAAAGATACTGTGTAAGAAGCTAGATGGCAGATAACTCCTAATAGCTGACAGTGAGTTGAGCAGACAGACCCATGGATGCTCCTGAATGCTGAGACTTTCACATACCCACACGCTCTTCAGCCTTCTGAGCTAAACCACAAAGATGGCTGACTTCGTAAGTGCGCCTCAGTAGAGATCCTTCTCTTGCTTTCTGGGACCAGACGCATCTGCAACATCACAGGAATAACAAACTTCCCAGCTCTTGAAGAGCACTGAATGCAAAACAACTCTGTCAGTTATGCAAGCCCCTCGAGTTACAGAAGCCCCCCCCCCTTTACGGGAAAAGCATAGAGTTTGCACATGCTAAACAGCACACCCTCAACTAAAGCCACAGTTCTCAACCTTTGGACCATTGGAAAACACAGATATTTGCATTATGATTCATAACAGCAACAAAAATAATCTTATGGTTGGGGGTCACCACAGCAAGAGGAACTGTATTAAAGGGTCACAGCATTAGGAAGGTTGAGAACCACTGCACTAAAGTAGCCTTACTCTGAGAACCCATTAGCTACAAAAACTTGTTTTGAAACAAGAATGTGTAAGAAGGTGAAGGCGGAAGAAAGGGACAGTGGTGAACCCAGCACGATGTTGAAACTGGGCATGGAGGTTCACATCTGTGACCCCAGCACTCCAGTGCCAGAGACAGGAGAACCGCTACAAGTTTGAAGCCAGCCTGATCAACACAGTGAGTTCCTATGACAGGGCTGCACAGTGATTGTCTGCCCCCGAACAAACAAAAGTAAATGGCATTAAGCCCAATGGCAAGTGTAAACCCCGAACTTATTCTAGGCTTAGTTCAATTGAAAGGTAGTTTCTTCAACAGTTTCTGTTGGTGCCAACATTCTCAGAGGGAACAAGGCTCAGTTACAGCCCTGGCCTTGTCTTTTCATCCAGGCAGAAAGGACAATACAGTCTGCTTTAGGTGTCAAGAATCTTTCAGCTAAAACAAACCTGTGAACCAGATAGCCTGAAACATCTCCTGTCTAATCACAGGGTCCCAGGCCAGACGGTTTTGTTACATAATTTGGAGAAGTGGCCTAACTTGCAGAGGGAATGGAAGTTCCAAAACACTGAATGTAAGGGAGAACATTGCAGAAATACAGCCAATTCAAGCTTCTATCTTTTATGAGTCCTCAGACTAAGCTTCCAGACAGTCCTCAGATTAAGCTTCTGCTACCTGTAAGCTGCACGAAAACCTGTGTGGGAGCCACAGACAGCACAAATGCAGCGGGGAAATTAGTTGAAACTGACTGAGAGGCCACCTTTTTGTCCAGTGGGAGCAGGTTTCCTTCTTAAAATCAGAACAGAGAAGCAAACACAACCGAGGGACCAATCCCAGCTCCTACTTTAGCAGTTATGTCTAGGAAAAGTTTCCTAATGCAGAAGATGGACACCCTGGTTCTTACCCACCAGACATTAGATTCTCCAAGACCACAGTTGTCATTCTCATCTATGAACACCCAGGTCCTCACTGACCTCTCCGTCCCTGACTTGAAGACTTCTGCTTCCAGAAAAGTCACACAGGTGGAGAAGTGGGTAGGTATGATCTGAGAGCCATGGAGAAGGGGAAATCCCAAGGACTTCTAGCCTAGGATATGGTCCAGAAGCAGACGAGTGTGAACTGTTGAGGACAGCAGTTTACAGTTTTCAAGAGCCTCCTCTGGGTACTTCAAAATCTTGCCTCTACCTCTAACATGACCTGGAATTTCCTGCTTCAACTTTGTCACAATGAAGGACGGTTCTTCCAGTTAAAATACTTTGGCATCTCAGCTTTGTTGATAGAGATTTACAAGCAACCTCAGCGTTCAAGGCAAAGAAAAATCATCAACGAGTGATGGTTTCTCAATCATCAAGCTATGCTTTCAGGGAATTTTATCAGCTTACATTCAGATTCACGTCGTGCTACCAGTTTTATACTAAACTGTATGTACAACACGAACTCTGCAGCAAAATAATTATATATGGTTATTTTTAAATAATTAAAATGTATTGAGTCTTTAGGGTAAGACAACCACTGTGCTGTTACACAAGTTCATTCAGTCCTTATAATAACCTGAAGTGGAACCATTGTTACTCAACCCCTGTAAATGTATATTTTGTATTTTTGAGGTTTTCTAGACTGAGTACATGCTACACACACAGCTAGGACTTTTCAGGTGAAGCTGCCCATTTAGCTTGTTGAACCCTAACACTCCTTTTAAAACTTAGGAAGCTTTTCAACAGCCAGCAGCTCCCATCTAAAGGAGAAGTGATTTGATGAGATTGTTTTTAAACAACTAAATCAAAAGAATGGATGTGTAGTCAGGAACCGGGGAGGGGGGTAGGATTCAGGATCACACCTAGATATGCATCAAACTTCAGCATCACGATGACTTTAAAACTGGAGGAGGGAAGTCAAGGAACTGGGATCTAGGGGTGGGGAAGGAAAGATGCCCCAAATTATGCTTCCTGATTGGAGTGACACTTAGGGTCTGCTTGGCCCAGAGAGACAGGGTTAGGGTTAAGGCAAGGATTAAGAAAGTTCTTTTTCAGATGCCCATTCATACAACAAGGACATCTGTTCCACTATGTTCATAGGAGCATAGCTATGATCCTGAAAGCAACCTAGATGCCCCACAACGGAAGAGTGGATAGAGAAAATGTGGTACATTTACACAATGGAGTACTACTCAACGGAAAAAAACAATGGAATCTTGAAATTTGCAGGCAAATGGATGGCAATAGAAGAAACCATCCTGAGTGAGGTAACCCAGACACAAAAAGACAAACATGGTATGTACTCACTCACATATGGATTTTAGATATGGATCAGGGGAATCTCGGCCTACAATCTCAGTGCCAGTGAGTCTGAGAAACAGGGAGGTTCCCTAGAAAAGTAGAATGAGGCAAGATCTCCTGAGCAAATTGGGAACATCGGGGGAGGGGAGAGGGAGTCAGGAAAAAGGGGGGGGGATAAGAGGAAGGGAGAAGAAGACATGGAGGAGCAGGAAGGTTGAGTCGAGGTAAGAATAGAGGAGAGCAGGATGAGAAATACCATAATAGATCGAGTCATTATAGGCTTGAGGAGAGAGCTGACACTAGTGAGATCTCCAGAGATCTACAAGGATAACACCAACTGGCAAACTAAGCAATAGTGGAGAGACTACATTAAATGCCCCTCCTTGATGGTAAGGTTGATGACTACCTTATATGCCATCCTAGAACCTTCATCCAGTGACTGATGGAAGCAGAGGCAGACACCCACAGCTAAACACTGAACTGAACTCCTGGAGCCTAGTGACAGAGATGGAGGAGTGATGAGCAAAGGGGTCAAGACCATGATGGCAAAACCCACAAAGACAGCTGACCGGATAAGGGGGAGCTCTTGAACCCCAGACTGATGGCTGAGAGGCCAACAGGGGACTGATCCAGACTCCATGAATGTAGTCTCAGTGAGGAGACCACAGAAATCACTGGGGCCTTGGGTAGTAGATCAATGTTTACCATGGTTTATGAATGATCTTTAGGAGCCCATTCCAAATAGAGGGATGCTCTCTCAGCCTGGACACATGGGGAAGGGCCTAGGTCCTGCCCTGGATAAAATGACAGACTTTAGAGATCCCCCCAAGGAGGGCCTCACCCTTCCTGGGAAATTATGTGGGGATTGGGTAGGGGGTTGGGGAGAGGCTGGTGGAGGGCCAAGGGAGGAGGGGTGGAAGAGGGAACTGGGATTGACATTTGAAGCATTCATGTTTCTAATTTAAATAAAAACATTACCAAAAAAAAAGAAAGTTCTTTTTCTGTCCTCCAAACCACACATCACACACACACACACACACACACACACACACACACACACACACACACACAAACATTCCTGGGTTATCTAGACACAGTTCCTTGGTCAGTCAACACTTGTCTCCTTTTTTTTAAAAAAAAAAAAGAGTGTGTGTGTAAAATGGAACAGGGAAGAAGAGCTTAAAACAAATCCCAGTGCCCCAGTTCACCAGTTTAATAATCCTGTTTCCTGGTCTTTAAATGGAGATAAACTCACTCTTCCATAGGGTACTGTGAAATTCAAGCGAGATGGTTTTATACATCTGACAGCTGTACCCATGTGTCAATACCTTTAATACACGTACATTTGTGGACCCAGCTGGTAGTGTAATTACTTATAATGTTTCTATGAAAGGTTTCTAGGGTTTGAATCATTGAATCATGGTTCTAAACACAGCCATAAGTGAGGGTTGATCTGCTTTTGCCCATTAGATGCCACTAAGAGACACACCTTTATTTCCAAACAAAGACAATGGATTTCAAAACTGATGCTTTCATTATCGCACTTCTGCTGCTGCTGCTGGCAGACAGGTGTGCCAAGAGCGCCTCATCTGATTAAAACAGTCAAGCCGTCATGAAAGGCAGGAAGGCGTGTACTTTAGTATGGACTCATCCATCTCCCAGGCTACCAAGTGGAGCTGGCTGCCCAGCAGACTTCATGGAAAGAAGCAGGAGCTATTAACTGAGAAACGTCATGGCTAACAGTTACTTATGACATTTGAGAGTGTTTGCTTTCCCTAGAGGCTTCTTAGAATAAAGGAAATAGAAATTCACATTTCGAAAGACATTTCTCCAAAGTTAAATCCTCGTTTGCTTAAAACATTTTGAGAATCACAGAATCTTCTTTCTCCCACATAGAAACTGCTCTGTACTACAAGTGCCCAGAGGCAGGCCCTGGGTGTGGTTCAGCTCTTTCTAACCCTATGGTCTCACCCATTTAGAAACACCTTATAGACACATTTGACCTGATGCCATATTCTGGGTTTAATAACCCCTTCCCAATGCCTGGCCTCCCAGGTACCCCAAAACAGTGAAGAAGAGGGTCTTGATCGACTGCTTGCACAGCACTTTGGAACCTCTGTGGGAAATTGTTCTACTCATCCTGGAGTGACTAGAATTGACTTTCCTTACCCAGCTAGACGACCCCCCCCACGCTGTAAATGGGGTCTGTTGGGAGCCCTGAAGGGAAGCTGGCTAAGACAGAGCTCCCTGAAGTGGGCCATTCATACACATGCGCATGAGACTAGCTGGGAATGAATGTTTCAGATGTTCAGAAACACTGAACGCTTTGAAGACAGTCATTTAGTAATGTTGTCGAAAGTTTACAGCCCTAGACTGCTGCTGTTCTTAGTTTCTTTAAAGGCATCCCATTTTACTCCCGAACCATCAATATTGGCACAGCCCTTAGCAAGTTAGTGATTTCAAAGCCGTTGAGCAAGAAAAGGAAGTAATTGCGACTCTGTTTTCTTCACACAGAGCTACTTGGCAAATCATTCATTCTGAATCCCTTAAGTGAGATTTCCACAACTCAGTTCATTTATCTGAAAACAGCCTGAGCCTCTTTTAAATTTAAGTGTCTAACAATACATTGGCGCTGAGTCCACAAGGGAACTCGATCCCAGGGAGCATCCTTGAACGCCGTAGTTGGGGATTCGTGGGCACACCCCTAGATTTGTCTAGGCACCCAGGAGCTCCCGGAGCGCGGGGATCGCTGGCCTCCAGGGTCGCGAGTGGGCGGTGGCGCCCCCATGCCCCTGTTCTTGACAGCCACCGAGACACACTTCCTGCGTCTATCAGCACCCGCATCAGAGCTCTGCCAAAGGGAGGCGGTGATATCACCCGGCCCCCAGGCGTCTCCAGCGCAGCCTCAGCCCCTAGACCACCCCTGGAGCTCAGGCTTGGGAGAGCCCTGGCTCCCAGGTACTGGGGGGGACTGGGCGCCTGGTCAGGGGGACAGCTTTCCTGACCCGCCTCCCGCTAGTCAGAGGAGGTGGCCGGGTCCCGGGTCTTGTCGCCCTCCAAGAGTCACTTAAGTACCGCACGCTGCTGCCGCGGCCCCTCACCTTCTCCTGAGTCCAGGCGGTGGTGTCAGGGCTCCCACTCCCGGCTATCAGGGACAGGACGGTCGCCAGCAGCAGCAGGTGGAGGGTGCCCACAACGCGCCGGCCGCCACCGCCTGCCATCTCTGCAAGAGTGTGAGGGCGCAGATTCCCCGGGCCGCCGGCGGTCACGAGCCCGGGAACGCGCGTCTGTCGCCTTCCCCCTTCTCCACCCTGGGATTGACTGCGCCCGCCTCCCCATCGCCTCCGGTGGCCTCCCGCTGCGCTGCGCCAGCAGAAGCCAGCAGCCCTCCTCCCCCCACCCCGACGCCAGCAAGCCAGAGGACTGGGATGCCCCGAGTGACACGTGCGAGCTTCCAAATCCAAGGAACAAAGAAAGCCACTTCCTTATCTTGGAGAGGACGAAGGGAAGGAAGGAAGAGCGTGGGAAATCCTTTTCTGTGATCCCCAGCGCCATAAGGAGTAATGGAAAGGAAAAGGATTTAACAGGCCCTGGGGGCTGTAAGTGCTTTGGGGCACCTCTTCATGGTTGACAGAGACTCAAACACAGCATTTGTGCAATGCACTGTACCAGGCACTGTCCCAGGTTTCTTCCAGGCGCTCCCATCTAATCTGCTCACCCCATCTGACACTTGTGGAAACCGAGACCTCCCTGGGGAAAGCCTGGATTGGAAGCCCCTAGGAAAAGTGTTTCCTCTAGAAGCCACCATTCCCATCTTGCCTGTCTTTTCTCTCAAACAGTTTCCGTTCCTTTAAGAGACAGACCAAGCCGGGCATTGGTGGTGCATGCCTTTAATCCCATCGGATCTCTGTGAGTTCAAGGCCAGCCTGGTCTACAGAGTTCCAGGACAACTTCCAAAACAATATAAAGAAACCCTGGAGAGAGAGAGAGAGAGAGAGAGAGAGAGAGAGAGAGAGAGAGAGAGAGAGAGGGAGGGAGGGAGGGAGGGAGGGAGGGAGGGAGGGAGGGAGGGAGGGAGGGAGAGAGGGAGAGAGAGAGAGAGACAGAGAGAGAGAGAGAATTTCTTAAAGAATATAATACTTGTTTGAATGGTATTAACTGTTAAAAGCAAGCTATGGAGAATTTAAAGTCTATGGAAGAGTGTCAGTTTTATATGCGCGTTATCCCATTTTGTATAAGGGATTGCACGTCTATAGATTATGATATATAGAGAGTAATGCTAGAAGCAATCTCCTGCTTACACTGGGGGGATGATTTTTTTCTGCTTCATAAGTCATTATTATCCAGATAATCCTTAATAAAAACAAATGAACAACCTGCCTGGCTATGGTTTCAGTGTAAAAATCATGTGCTCAGTCCCCAACACAACAAACAGTAGAAGTGGGGACAACCAGGGCTGGCAGGGCAGTTTGGTGGGAGAGTACTTGGAACCCTGACTTCAGTTTTCAGCACTGCAGAAAAGAAAAATAGGGGTGGGGTGTATCTTGTCTGTAAGCTTCTGGACTAAAGTGTGAAGGTTGTTTCTTCTTCCACAGTGAAGTTAAGATCTCCTTCTGTCTCAATCTGACTCCCAGCTACACACACAGAGCTCCTAGAAACAAAACAAAACAAAGATATGAGGAAGTATTTTCCAGGGATCAAAGTTGATGGTAATGAAATCTGCCAGAAGCACACGTACACACACACACACACACACACACACACACACACACACACACACACACATCTTCCTTGGCTGCAGAGTGTTTTTAAGAAAAGGGAGAGCTAGGAACACACTGTCCTGCCACCATCTGGAGCTGCAAGGGAAAACATGCAATGGAAATGTCTCTTTGCCAGTCTACAAGACTGCTGTAACTATATTCCCCATATTTCCTACATTGTAGGGTATCAGTTTAAATATTCAGGCCTATCGAATGGTAGGTGGTTTCCTTGGGACATCCAAGGACAGTTCTTATAATCAGTCCACTTTAGAAGCTTCTTTTGGCTCAGTATTCAAAACAAACCACTATCAACAGCTCCTAATATACTTCCTCTCTGTGACTAAGCCAACCTAACTTAGGTTAGAAACAATCTTGTTTCACATGTCAATCCCAGCTCCATCTCCCTCCCTTCCACCCCTGCCCACCCACAAGGTCCCACAGTGCCCTATCCAATCTTCCCTCTGATCCCCAGGGAGAGTGGACAGCCTTGTCTTGTTCCTGATCTTAGAGGAATTGTGTTGAGTTTCTATCCATTTAGTTTGATGTTGGCTGTTGGTTTGCTGAATATAGCTTTTGTTATGTTGAGGTAAGCTCCTGTTATCCCAGATCTCTCCAAGACCTTTATCATGAAGGGGTGTTGGATTTTGTCAAAGGCTTTTTCAGCATCCAGTGAGATGATCATGTGATTTTTGTTTCTCAGTGAGATGATCATGTGATTTTTGTTTCTCAGCTTATTTATATGGTGGATTACATTGATGGATTTTCATATGTTGAACCATCCCTGCATGCCTGGGATGAAACCTACTTGATCATGGTGGATGAGTTTTCTGATGTATTCTTGGATCTGATTTGCCAGTATTTTATTGAGTATTTTGCATCAATGTCCATGAGGGATATTGGTCTGAAGTTCTCTTTCTTAGTTGTGTCTTTGTGTAGCTTGGGTATCAAGGTTATTGAAGCTTCATAGAAAGAGTTTGGCAAAGATCCTTCTGTTTCTATTGCATGGAAAGCTTTGAGGAGAATTGGTGTAAGCTGTTCTTTGAATTTCTGGTATAATTCTGCACTGAGGCCATCTGGCCCTGGGCTTTTTTTGGTTGGGAGACTTTTGATGATTGCTTCTATTTCCTTAGGGGTTATAGGTCTATTTAAATTGCTTATCTGTTCTTGATTTAATTTTGGCAAGTGATATCTATCCAAAAAAATTGTCCATTTTCTTAAGATTTTCTAATTGTGTGGAGTACAGGTTTTCAAATATGACCTGATGATCTCTGAATTTCCTCAGTGTCCGATGCTATCTCCCCCTTTTCCTTTCTGATTTTGTTAATTTTCATGTTCACACTCTGTCGTTTGGTATGTTTGGATAAAGGTTTGTCTATCTTGTTGATTTTCTCAAAGAACGAACTCTTTGTTACATTGATTTTTTGTATTGTTTTCCTAGTTTCTACTTTATTGATTTCAGCCCTCAATTTGATTATTTCCTGGCATCTGCTCCTCCTGGGTGAGTTTGCTTCTTTGTGTTCTAGAGCTTTCAGTTGTGCTGTTAATTCTCTTGTGTAACTATCTCCAGTTTCTTCATGTGGGCACTTAGTGTTATGAACTTCCCTCATAGCACTGCTTTCAAAGTGTCCCATAAGTTTTGGTATGTTGTGTCCTAATTCTCATTGAATTCTAGGAAGTCTTTAATTTCTTCATTGACCCAAGAATTATGCAATTGTGCATTATTTAACTTTCATGAGTTTTTAGGGTTTCTGCAGTTTGTATTGTTGTTGAATTCTAATTTTAACGCATGGTGGTCTGATAAGTTGCATGGAGTTATTCCAATTTTTTTGTACCTGTTGAGGTTTGATATGTTGCCAAGTATGTTGTCAATTTTTGAGAAGGTTCCATGTGGTGCTGAGAAGAAGGTATGTTCTTTTTTATTTGGGTGGAATGTTCTATAGATGTCTGTTAATCCCAATTGGGTCATAACTTCTATTAGCCGCTTTGCTTCTTTGTTAAGTTTCTGTCTGGTAGTCCTGTGTAGAGGTGAGAGTGGGGTGTTGAATTCTCCCACTATAAGTGTGTGGGGCTTCATATGTGATTTGAGTTTTAGTAATGTTTCTTTTATGAACATGGGTGCCTTTGTATTTGGGGCATAGATGTTCAAAATTGAAACTTCATCTTGGTGGATTTCTCCTGTGATGAGTATGAAGTGCCCTGCTTCATCTCTTTTGATTGATTTTATTTTAAAATCTAATTTGTTAGATATTAGGACTGCTACCCCTGCTTGTTTCTTGGGTTCATTTGATTGGAAAATCTTTTCTCAACCTGTCACACCTGCTGAGCAGCCTGTATCCGAGAATGTAGCGAGGTGGTCGGGATAGATGACACAGAGACCAGTCGGTTGCTTTAAGAAAACTTTATGCTCCCCAAGTTGGCTTAGGAGAAGCTCCCCAAGAAAAAACGCTTCCCTTTTTAAGGACTTCTGCCATCCATCTACATACAATTCTCCAACCGAGCTCTCACACACCTCTCACAGCTCTCCCAGACTTCTCACCCTCCTGGCTGGTGATTTAATCTCTGGCCCCAGAATTGGGGAGAAACCACAGGGAGCAGGAAGAAGCATCCTAGCCTTAGGGGGGATCAAAGTCATGGTGTTTCAGTGAGTGAGCCCTTATCTGAGCCCTATCAAGAGCTTTATAGCACTGAATTGTTTTCAGTAAACATTATCTTGCAGCTGCCTGCTCCCAGACTGAAGGGGAAGTGGGTTTCTGCTCAAGGTCTGGTGTCCCCGCATCAACCCTTAACTCTGAAGTAGCATCTGTTTTTGAAGCTGAGGTGTGTTTCTTGTATGCAGCAGAAGGATGGGTTCTGTCTTCGAATCCATTCTGTTAGCCTGTGTCTCTTTATGGGTGAATTAAGACCATTAATATTGAGGGATATTAATGACCATTGATTGTTCATTCTTGTTTGTTTTGGAATAGTTGATGGTGGTGGAATTGTGTGTGGAATTTCTTTTGGCTGTTGGTAAGGTGGGATTATCTATTGCCTATGTTTTTCTGGTTGTAGTTAACTCCCTTGGGTTGGGGTTTTCCTTCCAGAAATTTCTGTAGGGCTGGATTAGTGGATATGTATTGTTTAAATCTGGTTTTGTCATGGAATATCTTGTTTTCTCCATCTATAGTGATTGAAAACTTTGCTGGGTATAGCAGTCTGGGCTGGCATCTGTGGTCTCTTCTGGCTTTCAGAGTTTCCATGGAGAAGTCAGGTGTGATTCTGATAGGTTTGCTTTTGTATGTTACTTGGCCTTGTATGTTGCTGCCCTTAATATTCTTTCTTTATTCTGTATGTCCAGAATAAAGGGTTTTTACTATTATGTGGAGAGGGGATTTCCTTTTGTGGTCCACTCTATTTGGTGTTCTGTAGGCTTCTTGTACTTTCATTGGCATGTCTTCCTTTAAGTTGGTAAAGTTTTCTTCTATGATTTTGTTGAATATGTTTTCTGTCCTTTGAAGTGGATTTCTTCACCTTATTCTATACTTATTATTCTTAGGTTTGGTCTTTTC